CCACATTCCCAAGAACTGGAATTTGTTAGAAAAAAAAATCACTAAAAAATGTCAAAAATAATAGTACAAATCAAGAGCTCATTTAGCCCAAAAGCCTGTCAGCATTATCATGAATAGTATAGTTCAAATTTTTCCGGGGCCATGCACCCGACCCAGTAGCTGTGTAATTGCCTCAGTGACCTGCGCACTCCGCATGCAAATCACACACCTAGCAGCCAACTCTGCAATTGTCACGCTCGCACTGCTTTTCCAAAATAAAAGAAACAAGGTACTGAGCATATAACACTGGGGAGTCGACTCAAAATACAGCAACATCTTTATATTCAGGGCCCAGATAAATCAAAAGGGGAGAGTGTGGAGGGATGGGGGGCGGGAGGGGAAACTAGGGGTCCGGGGGGCGTGTACTTTACGGGTACGACAAATTAATGGCTAAATCGCAACAGCACATAGACGTATTATGGGTTCAATATAATAAAACCGGATCTGACGCATTAGACAGTTAATGATCATTGGTCAGTAATTGTGACTGCGCAGCAGTTTACCGTAAATCACCGTCCGGATTCCTGTAGTCGAACAACAATTCTGACGTCGAATTCCCAGGCGCTGGGCAACTTTTACTTTGTGGAATTAATAAGCGGGCGGAGGTAATTTAAGACGGGCGAACGATCAAACAGGGATTCCCATACAGCGCAGCAACGCCCCGTGCGGCAAACGTAGGAAAACCCGTATTCGTTCTCTGCATCTTAAAATCGGGTTTTTGGCTGCAATGGGCAATTGGAACCGCCATTCCCCCACGTGTAACTAAAGCAGAAAAAACTACGCGACACCTGCAACAATGGCGCCTTCATTAGGTGTTCCAAATTACCGTAGACATTCCTGCTACACAAATGCATAGAAAACTACATTATACCCCTCGCACGGTAGGGCGGGTTGCACAAACAAGTAATGGCATAGGGGCGCGCATTTCCAATAATACGACATACGCATATGTTATAAATAAACTGCTGCATAATCTACTGCACCGCGCGTGGCATTCCAGTCACGGCCGCTGAAACAAAAAACAATTTCCAAGCATACCAATGCGAAAATCATGCAAATATATATAACAGTCAACTGAAATAAAGAATAAACCTTGCGCTGCGAAGGCGAAAGTAAGCCTAGAAATCGAATGAATTCAAGGCAGAACGGAACTGTTGAGACCGCTGTAAATTTCGGTGGCGTAAAGCTTAGAACACACGCGCGATTTTCTACCCTGCCGCTATGCGATCGAATAAATTACGGCCGGCGCGCGGTGATCCCGTCCACGGCAGCGTATTCGCATCGCGATCCCATACCCAACATCGCTAAGATCCACCGCGTTTTGTCGACCCGGCACCGTATTATCGGATCAGCGGATCACAGCCCCACGTAGAAAATCGCAACAGGATCCAGCTAACACACAGGAAACACAGTCTCAATTTGATTATCGCCACCACTGGCGGGACAACGGGCTCCTATTTAAAGGGGGAGATACACGATTTAAAACCGTCCCCGGTAGCCGTGCATATTTGCCCATGAGATGCGTTTTTGCAAATGTGGCATGCAAACAACGTTCAAAATTAGTGCCGACCCGGAGGCCCGAGGACACCAAGTTTTTGCTTCGGCCACCACCTCTACGAAACTGCCGGTCCTCCTGACCCGCACTTTTCCCCTCATATTACGCTGAAATACTACAGTTATCGCAACGGCACTTTAGACAGACTTGTAAATGGGAGCGCATTCTAATACGCTCCGTTCCTGAACGTATCGGGGTATCCAATCATGATTCGCCACACGAACAAAATCTCATGACCGTCTAAGAAATCTATTGCAGCATGTAGCTGCAATGGTTACCTCACGTTTGAGCATGTACGTATAGTCATCGACTTCTCCTTCATCCTCCTCTGCGCTGTTGTTACCAGCAGGTGCCGCTGGCTGGTGAGGTCGCATTCGTTGCTCTTGTAAACGATTCTGTCGTCTGATGCAATAACAGTCAAATCCGAAAATTATGCGATTAAAATATCAGTTATTATTGCAGTAAGTATAAATTGTTTGTATTGACTCCTCTCTCTAACTCTTTTTTATCTATCCCCTACTCTTCCTCTGCTCCCCTCATTCTCTTTCTCTACCTTCCACTTTCTTGGTCTCCGCTTCTCACTCACTGATTCTATTCCAACTATTCTCTACACTATCTCTCTTTCTTTATCTTTCTCTACCTGTTTCACTGTTTTTAATACTTCCTTCCCTCTATTTCTCCTCCCTCTGCCTCTCTCTTCCCATGGCTCTCTTCATTTACCTCATCAATCTTGCTTTCTTTCAATTTACCCTCTTTCTACCAATGTAAAAAAATATGCAAGCATGCATGCATATGCACACGAACACACACGCACGCATGCCCACACACACCTCTTGCTAGCTGGTGGCCGATTGTAAAAGCCATCATCATAGTCTTCACTGCCACCACTAAATGGACTCCTGTCATCATAAGGGCTCTCATATGAGGCCGACCGGCGGTGACGGCGCTTTGTTGACCTCCTGCCTGGCTTCTCGGCCTCCTCGTCTTCTTGCCCTGAGCTCACATAGTGGTCAGACTCCTTCCTTTGAACTGCACCTGGTGGAGGAGGGGGCCAATCCCTGGGGGATGCCTCCCTGAGAAAAGAATCTTTGTCACTTCCATGTTCGTGGTCCAAGTATCCTAGGTGGGGCATCTGCTGCGAAGGGTGGGGGTCTGTACTGGTGGTGTTTGCCACTCCCAGCCGCCGTTTCTTCTTTTTCTTCTTTTTCTGCAATTGCCAGAAAATATATGCACCTATTATAGTTTGCACATAATAGTTAATTTACAAATATACATGCAAATTACGTACACTACACATGCACAAACATTACACACAAGCACGCACGCACGCAAATGCACATGCACAGGCAAGGTTTGGCAAAATTTTCAGACAGGCTCATACCTTTTCCTTGAGTTCTCCCTCTTCAGCTTCTTCAGCATCTGCGTAAGGGTCATGATCTGCCAGCCTCTCCTCCAACTCAGATACCGGGTCGCCTCGTGATAGCTGGTCTGCAATCTGCCAGTCTCCATCTTCCTGCTGCAATAGCAACGTGCCTTATTATAAAAAAAAACGTTGAGCTAATCTTACTTTTTACCTGATGACAACGAATGTGGTCTTTATTGACGGGTGGTCATTCTATAGTGGTGCAGATCATACAATCTTATACAATGTTGACTGTAGTATACAACTGCTTACGATTTAGCTTTTGATTTCTTGCTACAATATTTCTGTTTCAGCAAATACACCTCTGCTCACCAAGCCAATCACTTTAAACTTAAAAATTGCTTGCTCCTGTTGAAATCACATCTATTGATACTTCAGTAACCTACTGATACTTCAGTAATTTGATCAATACTTGTAATACTAAACCATCGAAATGACAAAGTTTGGCTACCAGCTACCAACATCAACAACAAGTGACCTAAAACCATGTTCAGTTTAAATTTTCATAGCTAACGTTATTGGGAACTGTGCAGAAGAAAACAGTTGCTACTGAGCAGAGCATTAACTCTAAATTCAAAAACATGTTAGGCACCATAAAACACATGAACTGCATCCTGAATACAATGCTGCCTACCCGTGTCTTTATCGTTGACTCACGTACTGTCTTCTTTCTCTCTTGCAAACGTGCTTTTCTTCGTTTGCGCGAATCTCTTTTCCTCCCCTTTTTCTCCTCATCATGTCCGCCCTCCAGTCGATGAGCGCCATCACTGACAAGTGTGCATGACCCAGAAGCGACATTGGAATGTGCTGTTTCTGGTTGCTCATCTGCATGACCTATATTATTATTATTATTATTATTATTATTATTATTAAATCTTATTGCATGTAATTTAAATACAGATACATGTATTGAAGATTGAAATCTGATAGATGCAATAGTGTTGAGCAGTTAACATGATACAATTTCTGAGTAATACAGTACAAAACATTGCTATACAACATAAAGATAAATATAATACAAAAACGATAGTACATTCTGTTCAAATTAAAATGATTAATTTTATGCTTGCCACAGTAACCAACATCAGGGCTGCCACCATTGAGTTAGAATTAATATGCGAGGGAGCCGAGGGACTGAGCAAGGGAGGGTTAGTGCCCCCCCACTGGTATTGTATTTATAACCCATCAAAATATGAACGTAACACTACGTGTGAATCTACTCAAATATCTATTAAGGATACCATGCATGTAGATGCAGTGACGACCCTTCATGCATTGACCAGTCAGGTAAAATTTACACAATTCCAACTTCCTAGGTGGTTCCGCATCATGACTGAATGGACACTCGTTCCCCTGCAAAGAGATACAGGTCGATAAACGATCATGAATGATGGATGATAAGAGACAGTTTTACAATTGTAAAATGAGCAAAAATTAATGCTTACGGATGATCACAATAACAGCAGTTCAATTTGCATCTTACTCGATTACACTTTCCCTCCATATAGTATTTGCAAATGCTCTTTTTCCGTTGCTGTATCTGCATCTTCTGCCATTGCCTTTGTGTCGCTCCTCTACCTTTCTTCTTATTTTTATTATTATGCTGCTGCTGTTGTTGTTGCTGCGGGTGGTGTTGCTGCTTCTGAATCTGCTTTCCATGATCCTCTGGTGCTGGCCCCTTTCCCCTCAAGTACATCTACAACACACATAAGATGATGATGATGATAGATTAGTTGTTGTAAATAGTTGCCATGAACAGGACAGCATAACTGGCACACCGAGATATCAGTGAGCCAGCAACAAATAACAGGTAGAAAACTGCAATTCTCAATGTTGCTACCAATGGCCTAATATTGCCACCTTTCAGAGTAGGCGCTCAGTACACAAAGATAGAAGCAATTTAATATTCTGTTGCTCGTCAAACAGGTCCTGATATCGAAGTACTAGAACTTGTAGAGAAGCCAAAGCTTCTATAGCTATTATGGGTGTTATTGCTGGATAGCTATATTATGAGATAGCATTGTTTTTGCCTAGGTGTTCAGGGTGCTACAAAAAAAATTCCCACTTGCCCGGGTTACGAAACTGGTTGCCCGGAGGCAAAAGTCACTTGCCCGAAAAACATAAAAAAAATTCCAATATGAATTTAAATGTTAAATAACGTAAATGAAGGTCCAACTAGTCAACATTCAGCATTTCACTTAACGGCACAGTAGAAAGTTGAACAGCTGATACGAGTTTTTATACAAAATATATTCATGTTGGGACACAGCAACGGCCGTTTGTTTAAAATTTAAAATTTATTATCAACAAGTGCCGCGGAGCGACAGCGCTCATCTAACGTCTACTGCGGTGACTCTGTGGTGGAGTGGTGGGATTCTAGTAACCCTGTTAGTCCCATAGTGATTCACCATACACGCCAAAACAGTGGAAGGCAACAAGGATGGTTATCAGGAACCCTCTCAAAGGAATTGTTCGTTGGGATCGGGGCGTGTTGTTGCAATTCGTTACTGAAGTTGCCGCGACGATGGCGCGTCACGTTTAAGTGTCTTCCAGATTAAAGATGAAAGCTCCATCAAACGTAGTTAGCAAAACCTATTTGCAACGACAGAATAG